CAATTTTATGGATAGAGGATAGAAAACAGCTTTTCACTTCACAAGACATTAACTGATGGACTGGAGTGGTGTGGATTATTGTGATGTTTTAATCAGCTGTTTGGACTCTCATTCTGACGGCACCCATTCACTGCAGAGGATCCATTGGTGAGCAAGTGATATAATGCTACATTTCTCCAAATCTCCAATTTTTGTTTTTGGGTGAACTATTTTATGTTTGGTTGTTGCCTTACATTTTTAAGCAATCAAACTGGGTGTGCAGCTTTATAGTAGATTTCAAAAATTGAGTGGTAATTGGTTAAATTATTTTAATTATTTATCCACGTCAAACTATTTCGTTCTTATGATCATCTCTTTTGTGATAAGGGAAAAATATACTTGGCAGTAATGGGTGAATGCCTGATTCCTGTTTCTTTTGTAGTGGAATTCTGAAATGCATGAGGAATAATAATTACTGCTTGATTCTACACCAGTGCTTGGTATCAGGATAAGGACTTTGTGAGGGCCCCGGGTCATTGCACAACCTGAAGCTTCACAAAAAAAGTGAAGAAAGAAGGAGGAGGAGTATGGCAACTGTCATCACAAACAAGAAACATCTGTCTCATTTGTGTAACTTGTTTTCTTTTAATATGAGAAGTATGTTGGTAGAGATCTGTGAGTTTTGTGGAAGGCCTAGGAGGAGAGAGGAGCGCTTACATTTCTTTTTTTTCTCCCTATTTCACTCCTGGAATCATTCTTCCAGACCTTTGGTGAACTTGTGCCTTTGTCTGCACATCCACTCCTCATGTCCTCTAAGGTGAGTTTAACTACTACAGAGTGAAACGTTAGTGGAGAAATCTGTACTCAGAATGAAACTTAACATTTTTGACTTTACCTTTTTTTTTTTTTTTAACTTAGAATAATATTTTTTGTTAGACATTGACAAAACAATATGTTAAAATATGTATAAATCTGTTAATTAAATAAACTTGCATAACATGCATAATCCCTTTGCCGGCACAAATTTTCATCTAAAATGAGCATTTTTATTAGACCCTTATATTTATGTTCAGTTATTTCACTTTAATTGCGTAGAAAATGACCTATACATTGCCATTAGAGTAAAATTACTGAACCTAAACATAGGAGACGGCACTTAGAGGCTTTTGCATCTGAACTATATATATATATATTCTACTGTGATTACTTCAGAGACCAAAGTCATATTAAAAGTAGCTGAAAGGCTAAAGCCCCTGATCTTTGAGTTCCTTTATTGAATTGTAGGTTGATAATTATGTTATGTCCCTGGAAAAGCCTTTCCAAATATTAAATTACTGTGTGGTATTTTCCATCAAAGAGGCGGTGACAGGGCCATTCTGTTGACAGGATTAGATTTCTCATAGTGAAATCTCCCTCAAGCACATTTTAGATCTATTCTCATACACACTGATTTTTCTACATTCATGCCTGCATATTTTTTCCCCAAATAGCCATAGGAGAAATTTCTTACAGCCACAGACAGGTTGTCCTAGGTGTGTTTAAAAGTGCATGTTAGTGAATCATGTGTATCAAAACCATGCAGCACGAAATGGCAGCGAACAAAAACAGTTGTGTTTTAGGCCCCAATATCTCTACTTCCACAACACAGGATGTGCTGGATATTATGAGGATTTTGCCATGATTTCTCCAGCCTGCATGCACAGATTTGCCCCCTGCTTTAATTTCCCGGTGCACAATAAAAGGCGAACCCTCCGCTCTTCAAACCACCTCTTCCTGTTCTTCAAAGCAGCTTATTAGTAACAGACATCGGTATGACCAAAGAACTGCAAAGAATATGGAAGCAGACGTTAAAATGTACATATAAAATGAGATGGAAGGATTGTTTTGGACTAAAGTGATATGCACGCTCTCACGCTTTTCCAACATCTGTAAAAAGCCAGAGGTGGTTTGATGACATATGAAACATAAATTAAAGGTAAAATGCGTCAGCTCGGGTGAAAGGAAAACCGGAGGGTGTAATCTACCCGTCGACTGTTACGACAGCAAAGTTAGGCCCTTGACAGTGTAGACAGTAGCATCCTACAGCAAGGGTGGAGTGGTGTAGTCTGTGGTGTTCACTTGCAATTGAAACAGATTTAGCAGCCCAGAGTCATGCTTTTTTAAGGTGTGTAACCATGTTTCTGTTTGTATTTATAGGTTTCTGTATGTATTTAAACTCAGCCAATAGTGTAAGATTTTTTGATGCATTCAAGTTTTTTTTTTTTTTTTTAAAGAATGCATTAAATTGATCAAATATGACAGCAAATATATTTATAATGTTGCAAAAGATTTCAAATCCTGAAAAATTATAATAATAATATGAAATGCTTCTTGAGCATCAAATCAGCATTAGATTAATTTCTGATTTCTGAATATGATGCTGAAAATTCAGCTTTGCGACACAGGAATAAATTACATATTATGAATTCAATTTTATAATAATATTTTTCAATGTTACTGTTTTTTTACTGTATTTTGGATCATATAAATGCAGCCCTGGTGACATAAGAGACTATTTTTATAGAAAAACCCGACCCCAAATTTGTATATATGTATTGAAATGCATGCAAAAATAAGACTGCCCTCCAAAAATGTGTGGAAATGGGACACAATGCAAGTAATTGGGCAACAACTCAGTGAAGTGGTGCTTACGAAAGTCATCCCTGGGGCCGCTTTGTTGCAGCACAGAACCACATTTATGCATGTCTGACAAAGCTTCATTCCTGCCATTATTCCATGAATAGTTTCTATAAATATTTATTGTTCTTGGCGTGATGGCATGACTCTCTGAGTGCAGCCTAGACCATGTCACTAGGCAGCTGGCTGACTGGTACACACACTGGCACTGCTCTGATCCATCAACCCCTAAACCATTACACATGTCTGTAAAGCATGATAAAAATGGAAAATACCAATCGTACCACTACTGTGGTAGTAGGTGTCGTTAACCTGGGGATTGCATAATGGCCATGTACATATTAATTCAAAAGTTTGGGGTCTCTTTTGCTCACCAAGGCTTCATTTATTTGATCAAACATGCTGTAAAAACAATAATAAAACTAATAAAATACTATTTTTTTAAATATATATTTTAAAATGTAATTTAATGTGATCAAAGCTGAATTTTCAGCATCATTACTCCAGTCTTCAGTATCACATGATCCTTCAGAAATCATCTAATATGCTGATTTGCTGCTCAAGAAAAATATTTTTCAATGTTACTGTTTTTTTACTGTATTTTGGATCATATAAATGCAGCCCTGGTGACATAAGAGACTATTTTTATAGAAAAACCCGACCCCAAATTTGTATATATGTATTGAAATGCATGCAAAAATAAGACTGCCCTCCAAAAATGTGTGGAAATGGGACACAATGCAAGTAATTGGGCAACAACTCAGTGAAGTGGTGCTTACGAAAGTCATCCCTGGGGCCGCTTTGTTGCAGCACAGAACCACATTTATGCATGTCTGACAAAGCTTCATTCCTGCCATTATTCCATGAATAGTTTCTATAAATATTTATTGTTCTTGGCGTGATGGCATGACTCTCTGAGTGCAGCCTAGACCATGTCACTAGGCAGCTGGCTGACTGGTACACACACTGGCACTGCTCTGATCCATCAACCCCTAAACCATTACACATGTCTGTAAAGCATGATAAAAATGGAAAATACCAATCGTACCACTACTGTGGTAGTAGGTGTCGTTAACCTGGGGATTGCATAATGGCCATGTACATATTAATTCAAAAGTTTGGGGTCTCTTTTGCTCACCAAGGCTTCATTTATTTGATCAAACATGCTGTAAAAACAATAATAAAACTAATAAAATACTATTTTTTTAAATATATATTTTAAAATGTAATTTAATGTGATCAAAGCTGAATTTTCAGCATCATTACTCCAGTCTTCAGTATCACATGATCCTTCAGAAATCATTCTAATATGATGATTTTTGTGGAATACATGATACATTCTTTGATGAATAGAAAGACGTTAAGATCTTTTGTAACATTATTGTCTTTACTGTCACGTTAGATCAATTATCAAATGAATAAAAGTATTAATTTCCTTAAAAAAATCTTACTGATGGCAAACTTTTGAATGTGTAACTTAAAAGAATATTCCAGGTTCAGTCCAAGCAATGGCATATTATGGCATATTGTTACCACAAAAAATAATTTTGACTCAACCTTTGATTTCTTTAAAAAAAAAAAAAAAAAACAGTTGTGGTTATAGTGAGGCATGTAGATTGTGTGGGGGCCAGTTTGTGGATTATTTAAATGCAAAAATGGTAAAAAAAAATAAAATTAATTAAATGTTTATAATTTTAGAAAACTAATTGTAGAAATAATTATATTAAACAATTAAACAAATTATATTATTATTTGATAATTTTATTAAAATAATTTTATATAATTGTATAAATCATTATTTTTACAGTCATTTTATGGGTTATGCATTTACCTTGACATGGCAACAAAGTTAAATTGGATATAACTATGCAACAAGCATAGAAAGCAGGCTAGTAAGATTTTTTTTTTCACACATTGTTTCTAACCCAGTTAATTCAGATTGGCAAGTAACCCATAATTTTGCTTCTTTTTTGGGGGGTGGGGGTTGCTAAATCCAAATGAATGTTTGTCATAATCAACATTATGCAACAGGTGCTGTCAATTGAGCTTAACTTGAATTGACCCCAGGATATTTCTTTAACACCGTCAGCAGCAAGACTACAAAACCAAACTTTACAAAATTATATCTTTGTGTGAACCCATTAAACAAAACTGAATGCATTCATAAAGACCATTAAACCCTGCTAAAAAGATAAGATTTGACCACCAAGTTGGTTAATGTTGTTCAGCGTGGTCTTTTTGAGGAAACCGTTTAATTATTAACGGCCTACTTCCATGAATCACCATTTGCAAAGAGCAATTCACCCAATAAGCACAATCACAAACATGTCAGTCTTTGACACGGCATATATTTCAATTTAACATACATTCATATGAAATATAGTCCTCTTCAGTGTATAAGTCTTTACAAATCTATGTTTCTTTTAAAAGCATACTGGATAGCAAGTTTTACTATAGAAAAGCTTGGAGTTATGGTATCGTACATAAATAATTCAGTCACTCGGTCTGACTAATGGAGCAGGGAATGCTGGGGGATTTGTTTATTTGTGGTATGTGCATCTGGAGAGGAAAAGTGCTAGAGTCATCGTGCACAGAATCCATGGTCCAAGCACCCCAAGCGGGTAAACAATTTATGTTTGTTAGTTTCGCGCCAGATGCATGGTTACAGCTCAGCACCAATCATCCGTCTGTGTCAATAGCTAGTTAACTAACGACTTTGATTTTCAAACATCTTGCTGACAATTATATTTCCACTCCGTCTTGTTCGGAGCCGGTTTGCATCCCTAGTAAAGCAGGCCTCGCTTTAATACTTGCTGTACATTATTGGTGAGTGATTTTTGAATTCAAGCAGCATCACAGGAACGAATGGCCACGAGTATGGAAAACTATGGAAAGTACATGCACACCTGGACTGCATATCTCAGTTAGTCCGAAGTCCATCTTTCAGGATGAAACCCTAAAGCAGCATTAACGATGAAAAGGCTTTTAAACGTTGACCTTTCTCCATATTCATGTGCCCCTGATCCCAATGGCACTCCTCTGGTGCGCGTCACATTAAAAATTCACTCTCTATTTGATTGCAATAAGTTAAAATAGATAGATATATATATATATATATATAAAAATAAGAGAGCAACCACAATTAAAAACAGAACGAGAAGAGAGAAAAATACTCTCAATTGGGACCTCGGGTATATTCGCCCCTATATTTTAAAGTTTCATGTATGACATGTTCCTTTATTGTCGCATGAAATGCTGGGGAATTTGTCTGGTTTCCCTGTGCATGTAGGGAAGTGGTGAGAATAAGTTCTGCAGTCTGGATCACCGACACGTGTGCATCTCGACCATCTTGCGGCACTGTTTGCACTTGACGTAGCAGCACCAGTGGAACTTGCAGCTGCAGCGGTCGACCACCTCCACCTCCTCCGTGTGGAATCCGCGACCGCAGCACATGAGCTCGCAGCCGTCGATGGCCTTCGAGGTCTTGTTGCAGAAGCGCCCTGCGGTTCCCAGTATGCCTGGAGTTCTGGGGTCGTGTTCGCAGAAGTCTGGGCTCGGGTCCAGGTACACCAGATCTTCATCTGTGTGCGGCTTGAACTGTGAGTTTCGTGGAACCAGGACCTTGGTGGTGCCCACTTTGCGCAGCTCCACTTCTGTAGCGCCGTCGAATTTCTCCTTGATGATGTTGCCCACTTTGCGGAACGGCGGCATTGCTTTCCAGCAGGTTTTTACCTCGCAGGAACCTGAAACGCCGTGGCACTTACATTCCACTCGCATGTGGTTCAGAATTGCCTTGGGATGGTAAAAGAAAGGTAAGTTGTTAACAAATTATGAATGCTAAAAGCTTTCGGCATGATGCTTGTTGAGCGTCTTACCTTCCTCCCCGCCTCGTTGTTATGAAGGTTCATTAGGGCTCTGTTGGAGGACTGTCCTTTACTTCGTTCTCTGACGTCCACAAAGGACTGGGAAAAAGCAACCCCGTATGCAATGTTATCCGAGCATCCTGACCACTGGAAACCTGTTGAGATAAAAGCGGTCAAAGATGGAGAAGTTTAATGAGAAATCACGTGTTTTTATCAGCCCATCTGGAAACAAATTTACTGCATTGGCAATTTTTGTCCAGGTTAGTGACATCGGGGGCCAGATTTACTATCAGCTTGTGCCAGCGCAAACCCTCTTTTGGTGTTAAAAAACTACTGTCAGGATTTACTAAAGACACACAGTGGGAAATTACCGCTGAAAAGCCATGGACAGTTATTTTTGCGACTCACCTTATTGAATATGCATTTGTAAAAGTTTCCCTTTCGATCGGTACATTTATGGGAGGAGAGTATTTAAATGAATCACGCAACGCAATTTACTAAGATTTGCGCTCATCAATTCACTGGTATTTGTGCTATTATTTAATGCCCAAAAAAGCATGTCTTAAAGTAGGCGGTAATTTGCGCTGCTCTTGGTAGATTGCGCTGTCATTATGGAAATTAAATGTTGCGTCTGTGTACACCTTGTCAGTAAGTCACCCGAAGAATTTTTCCCTCCCATCGGCGCTTTTATGGAATTGCGCTCTAACGCTAATTTGCCCTGTTTAGTAAATCTGGCCCTAGATCTTTGAATGTCATTTATAGTTTCGTTTGAGACACTTACGTTTAAGTGAACTAGATATCCATGAAGAACGGTGTATTTGACTGTTATTTAGTTTTACTTAATAATATGAAATAGTCTGCAATTTTTTTCCTGTATTTTTTATGCTTTTTGATTATAGGGGAGAGCGGGGTAAGTTGACCCACCCCCTGTATCTTGGCAACTGTACATTTTTACTGTCATGTGACCTTGTATTTTAGAATCCCCCATAATTTCTGCCAAAGTGAAAAGGAGAAACCGGTGTGGAAGGCACCTATTTACTTTAAAAACTGTTTTTGGCTTGTCAAAGTAATATCTTGGCATTAAATCAAAGCAAATTCATCCAGGTCTAAAAATATTTATGATGCATATAGGTGATTTAGGAACATATAAAACCATGCAAGTCATTTAGCTAAATATTAGCCTGAATTGGTAAGCTAGCTAGTTTTTTTCCAAAATGGCAGCTATGGGGCAAAGTGAGCCGAATGCTGTGGGGTAAGTTGAAACCAGCATTTTAATTTTAACGTACCCCAACATAAGGGACTGAAGTTAAAGGGGTCATATGATGCGATTTCAAGTTTTGTGGGAAGATTTGCATAACATCGCCCAAATGTATACGCAAAGAAAGAAGGCGTAACTTTTGATTCTCGCTGTAGTATTGTTGCCGCCGCCGCCATGTCGTGGAGACGCTGTGAGTTTCGTTGTGAAAGCGAAACTACTTTGTTTGGTCTTCCAAAAGAGGACACAGCTAGAAATCAGTGGTTAAGTTGTATTTACAACACTGTTCCAGAACAGTTCAAACCAAATATTCAGATGTGTGCAACGCATTTTACGGAGGACGAGGACTGTTTCCTGGGAGAGTAGCCTACAATGCCGGTGTTCTGGTGAATTCAGTTCCCCTGTTTCCACTTCGGCGCGCATGCTGATACAGTCTATGATGCTTTCAAATAATGCTGACTCACAGCCTGTAAGTACGTTTTCATATTTAAAGGATTTGCCACTGACGATTCAAACGCGAGTTTTGAGCAGTGTAGAGTAGCACTTGTTGTTTGTCGTTTCTCCGATCACAAATGCAGACATGGTTTTATGTTTACGCGGCGCGATGCAACGCAAAGCGTAAAAAGACAGTATAAGTCATTATAATCCATAATTATGTCCCCACTGGATGCAACAAATGCCTCGTTTATAATGGGTTTTAATGTTTTTGTCTTATCGCGCCGGGACACGGCATCACAGTATGGTAAGGGGCGTAACATTTCCGTCACACGCTTGAGGAATTCGGCCAATCACAAAGCACTAGATAGCTGGCCAATCAGAGCACACCTCGCTTTTCAGAACGATGAGCTTTGTAAAAATCGACGCGTTTCAGAAAGGCGGGGCATAGAGGAGAAACAATAATGTACAGTATGTGGAAAATAATGTGTTTTTTGAACCTTAAACCGCACAAACACATTTCATTACACCAAATACACCAAATAATGTTCTTTTTTAGCAACGTCATATGACCCCTTTAAGTTAAATCTATGTATTATTTGTAGTTTATTTGATAGGGACAGTGTACAAGTACACCAAATCCTTTGATAAGAACCAGAAGAAGCTTTTCATCACATTATAATCATATCTTTCCAACTGTAGTCCCTAATGGCCGGCTCGACATTGCAGAAAAGCTACCATGCCAAGAAACTTTTGACTGTAATGTTTATTCGTTTCAGTGACATTTATTCATTAATTCTAATTCAGTTTTTATGTGTTTTATGCAGTTTTATATTGTTTTTGGGAAGGTTATAATTTTCGTGTTCAACATATTGTTTCAGAAATGCCAATAATTAAAGATTGAAATTTAAACTTCATTTGGTAATTTTTATGTTGTTTAGGTTAGCTTTAAGAAAAGAAATATGACTGTAAAAGGAAAACGATTATTAAATTAGTTTAAAAGAGATAAATTATCTTCTAAATTTCACACGGGTTTGAATCAGTTTCATTGTCATTTAACACCCAGATGGTGCATCTTACCCTCTTACTCGGATCAACTTACCCCTAACCTGGGGCAAATTGAGCCACGGGAACACTTTTTTAATAAGAAGCCATATTTTTAGAACCCTCTGTTATAGATGCATTCTGATAATTTAAAATGATAGGAAACTTCCTGAAATTACTTTAGATACTTTTATTGTACTTCTGCCTTATTTTCTCTTATATATACAGGTGCATCTCAATAAATTAGAATGTCGTGGAAAAGTTAATTTATTTCAGTAATTCAACTGAATGCTTTTTGATTATTGTAGTATAATCTATTGCATTTCCTGTTCATAAACTGCACCTATGAACAACATGAATTGTTATTTACCACTTTATATATCAGTCGCATGACTCTTCCTGTCTAATCTGCCATTTCTTGGCCAGGATATGCTGCACCATACACCTTTTGGTCTGGGTATTATGGTTTCATAGCTATTTTAATCATCATAGTCCTAATCATTTAATCATAATTATTAATAATGGTTTCACAGCAATTAATCAATCATCATAATCATTATTCAAACAAACTGCACATACCTTCTGGACTGACACCGTGCACATTGCGGTCGCAGCCACACTTGTCCAGCTCCCCACTGCTGCAGGCTCTGGTCACTGCAAAGGCTACGCTAGCAGCAGATATGGCGTACACAAATGCAGCTTCCCGTGTACCTGTGACACAAATAAGCAGCCATTAAGCATGCACACAGTTTTAAGCACGTCCAGTTAAATTAATGAGGCTACTTACCTTGTGTGACCACTTTGCCAAACACAGGAACACTCTCTAGCGTCGAGCAGTTCCAGCGTCGGTTGCGGAACTGAAACTGGCACTCGTCGATAGCGAGCTGAGCGCCCCTGCGGACCGCGTCCATCACCTCCACATTACGCTTGCAGATCTGAACCTGCCTCTGGATGAGTCCTCTGAGCTTCTCACAGGTTTCTTCATCTGAGATGCTCCCCACCGATGACAGCTTTGCCAGGTATCTGAGGACAAACCAATAGAGTCGTGATCGATAAATGTTCATAGACTCTCATTAATACAGGCATTTGTAAAAAAAAACAGGCACACTTTATTTTAAATTCCAATTCTCGCTATTAACAAACCATTAACTATGACTTTTGGCTCAATAAACCCCTAATTTGCTGCTTATTAATAGATTGTAAGGTAGTTGTTAAATTTAGGTACTGGGTAGGATTAGGGATGTAGAATATGGTCATGCAGAATATGTGCTTTATAAGTACTAATTAACAGCCAATATGTTAATAATAGATATGCTAATAAGCAACTAGTTAAAAGTGAGAACTGGTCCTCATACTAAAGTTTTACTGAAACAACTTTGTATCTAGACGCTGAATGTTTTTGGAGCTTGAAGAAAAAGAGTAAATATAATTTGCAATATTAGAATGTAGAATATTATGATTTTTTTCTTTCTTTGTTTTACATATATATTATCATATTTATTATCAACATAGAAATCCTTTCTAACAATATAAGTCTTTACTGTCACTTTTTATCAATTTAACACATCCCTGCTGAATAAAAGTATTAATTTCTTAGAAAAAAAGAAAATCTAATTTACTGACCCCAAACTTTTGAACGGTAGTGTATAAAGTTGCAAAAGATTTCTGTTTTAAATAAATGCTGTTCTTTTTAACTTTTTATCCATCAAAGAATCCTGAAAAAAAAGTATCACAGGTTCCAAAAAAATATTAAACAGGACAACTGTTTTCAACATTGATAATACATCAGCATATTATAGAATGATTTTTGAAAGATCATGTGACACTGAAGACTGGAGTAATGATGCTGAAAATTCAGCTTTGCATCACAGGAATAAATCATATTTAAAAAGTATAGAAAAATAGAAAACCATTATTTTAAATTGCAGTAATATTTCACAATTTTACCATTTTTTTCCTGTATTTTTGATCAAATAAATGCAGCTTTGATGAGCATGATAAATTTCTTTTAAAAACATAAAACATTTTACTGTGGTCATTTTATTAATTTATTTATATTTATATAAGTTTTAGCAAATTTGGGGTTTTGTATTACCATGTTTCCCAATTTATTTATTTATTTATTTGTTTGTTTGTTTGTTTTAGTTAAATCGCTTGATTTATTTGTTATAGGAATAGGATCTGACCCATGCATCGTTCCACTAGTTTGGTGACCCAACATAGGGTTTTCATTGACTTCATAGCACAAACAGTACAATAAACACCGCTAACATAAACAGCTTTGGCCTCCTTTGACGTTCTTGGAAAGCTGTGCTGGACAGATGACGTAAGGGTGATGTTGCGAGAGGTGGATAGAGACTATCTTCATCCATCACCTCCAGGGCCAGGGGGTCGGGGCAACACCATCGCTTTAAAGGGTCTGCTGAGCTGCATCTCTTTAAGGCACCTTATAAAAATAGTCCTGTACTACAACACATCACACAGGTTTTCATCCGTACACACCAAGCTTGGTCTCATTATCATCGAGACTGGTGGAGATCAAAGTCTTGACTGTTTAAAGTCTGTGCAGATGCATTTTGAGAGTTGCGTGCAGGTGATGTTTGCAAGGGCACTCACGAATGTGTTTGTTTTGCATTATTTGTTTCTGAAGGTCTTTTTGGTGTGGTGCTGGGTAATTCCAAAGTGCGCCCAAGTGTATTGCGTATGGAGGTCTTAAGAATGGCTTTGAAGGTGCTCTGCTGTAAATACTCAATTAAGTTGCAAGATCTCAAGGTTTACTGATTCGGATTGTAGCTCAAGGCTAACCCTGAAAATCATCACGGATCGGATCTGACTCACGAAATGCTCATCATGTAAATGCGAGTATTTACACTCTTGAAAGTAGGGTTTAAATGGGGGTTTTCGCAGCAATGCAACCATTTTTGGTACAGAGAAACTTTCATGGAATGGTTCTCAAAAGAACTGTTTTTTTTTCTTACTGTGAAGAACATTTTAGAAATCTAAAGAACCTACTGTGGAATGGAAAGAATAAATGTTCTTAATTGAACCATCAATGCCAACACTGTAAAACCAAACAGTAAAATTATTTTTTAAAAAGTTAATTACTAAACTTATTGTACTCGAAAGAAAAAAGTTATGTGAACTCAATAACCAATTAAGCTGAATTTGAAATAAATGAGTTAATGCAGACTTCTAGTTCTCAGCATGCTTTGCGTTAAGGAGAAAGTAAATGTTTAAATTAAGTGCTATTTTTGTGTTTTTGCGCAGGATCAGTATAATAAAGGATGCGTTAATGTTTAATGTTCTGTTAAATTGGGATTTTTAAGGGTTTCTTTTAATCTTGATCTGCAATGGTTACCTTCAAAGAGCTATTTTACCTGATTTAACCCATAAAATGTAGGTTTGTTGGTATAGATTAATGTATTTAGGTTGATTCGGCGATATTTAATAGTATTTTTGTTATACTATTATTATACTACTATAGTACCATGTTTTTTCAGCTATGCAGTTAACCAGCTAATCTGATGTTAATGCAATCACATGTGTGTCAATATTTCAGTTCATGAATGTTCAATTGCAATTAACATTAAAAATTAAAGTTCTACAAACTCAATCTTTGAGTTTGTCTTAATTTTGATGTAACTGGCCTCGATTGTTTGATATCAGGATTTAAAGTCAATAAAGAAGCGTTATTTTTTGGTTTCAAGGGCTCATCTTAACAAGTTAAAACGGCACGTCCAGCTCCCTGCAGCTGGCAGCGGTGCATCCCAACCCTCTCTGCTGTTGACAGGAGCTGATTTTGAAGGCCACGGCCGGGGCAGATAAGAAACAAACACCTCCTTGTCCACGGGACCATCATCTCTGCTCTCTTGAGCTTTGATAACGCACTCCTGTCCGGCCAGAAGATGAAGCATGACATCAGCGGAGTGGCCAGATGCACATGCATTCTGCTCGGAGGGTGTTTGACTTTCTTTTTTATAGCATCTGTTGACGATTGCATGTTCTTGCATGCGTGTTTACAGCTTTTGTTTGTTTCACCAGTAAATTAGCTCTGTGATCCTGACCTGATAATGAATCTGGCAGCCAAATGGTAGAGGAGGCCCATCCGTTCTGGCGGGATAAGCACTGGAATATAATATATCAGTGCCAGATGCTCTCATAAGACTTGCGCTCGTATCAAGCTCGGGATTTTGACAAGCAAACACCTGAAGAACGGCCCGCTGCGTATTTGTCTGGGAAAAAGATTGTCTGAGACCTTGAGAGAATCTTGTTTTCATTGCGTCCCAATTCTAGCTCTCTAGCTTTCTACTACGTACTCGCTTAAAAGCAGTGCTAAGTTTGGGAAAACAAGGGGAGCCGACTGTGGGATTTTGTAAAAGAATGGGAGATGCCTTCCTCTGAGCTTTCTGGGAGGTTTTTGCGGGAGCATTCCACCTGGAGCACGGTGCCTTCTTCCTTTTGTGTCATGTTTGTGTTGAATTACATTGCCCTGGCCTTTGAGCGCTGTTGGCTCCAGATGGCTTAGCCAAGCGCGACTTAGCACGCAACCATGTCCTACGAGAGAGTTTGGAAGAGAATGAGAGAGAAAAAGAGAGCGGCAACACGTACACACGCCTGTATACAGTATATCCACTCGCTTTGTACTGCTGTCAACGTATAAACACACTTAAAGTTATATAACATACACTACCGTTCATGCTCACCAAGGCTGCATTTATTTGATCAAAAATACAGTGATATTGTGAAATATTTACAATTTTAAAATAGTTATTTTCTATTGCTTAATATATTTTAAAATGTAATTCATTCCTGCTGAATTTTCAGTGTCACGTGATCCTTCAGAAATCATTCGCTGATTTGCTGCTCAAGAACATTTCTTAATAATGATGGAAGCAGTTGTGCATATTTATATTTTTGTGGAAACCATGATACATTTTCTTTCAGGATTATTTGATGAATGGAAAGTACAAAAGAACCCGACTTTTGAATGGTAGTGTATACATATATGTTGCAACTCAAAAGCTTCACTTCCTCTCAGCATCTTTTTGTGAGTTTATTGAATAATCAAACGATGGATGTTGACATTTCCTGTCTCTCTGCTGTAAATCGCTGAAAGTAAATATCAGACCTGTGCAAGCTACCGACAGCAAGTAAACATGAGTGCTATGGCGTCCAAGCTCCACAATTTCATGATGTTTACCAAAATATTTGATATTTACATATTTGTCAGTTGTGCGTCACAAGGCGCTCATGTCTGTGTATTAAAAGCTGTTTCTCTGAAATAAATTCAGTGTTAGGGGCGTTTAAGGGAACTCATGCATTTTAGGGTTTCGTATTTCACCCACATATTTCCATTTTATTATAATTATTTTTAAACACTACCTCCATTTAAAGACATTTAATGTCCCTCGGCATTACCAAGGAGTTTGTTTTGAACAGAAACACTATTGCTGTTACTATAATGCATGACTGTTGGCAATGCTCATACTTTTCCAAAAAACTTTGTGGGGAAACTCATCCTGCACCGTTTGTGGCACTGACAGGAATGATATATTAAGTTGTTCAAAATTTCCCTTTTCTAATCAATCAGATTTGATTTTCACAGGGCAGATGATGAATTGCATTAAGTATGCAACCACCCAAAGGGCCATAAGTGACACATGCCAGCAACCTCTCAGAACCTTAGTAAGGCACTGAGCTGGTGAGTTTTGCATGCTCAAGCACATCTTGCATTTTCATTAGGAGAAGCACAATTCTTTGTCCTAATGACCTTAAATATTCAGCCATCAATATAGGTGATTTTAATTTTAAAGAGTGTAAATATTACTTTTAAAAGTTGAAATTACTAACTAAGATTCAAAGGTTAGATTAGAGGTTGGTAAGATTTTTTTTTAAATGTTTTTAATGCTCACAAAGGCTGCATTTATTTGATTAACAATACAGTAAAATCAGTAATATCGTCAAACATGATTACAGTTTTATAAAACTGCTTCCTATTATAATATATTTTAAAATGCAATTTA